AACACTGCAGCAGCACCTACCTGAATACTGTTCCCACCGCCAGCAATCAGTTGCACATTTCAGATCCGTCTGGGGTCATATTTGAGTTCCTGAAAGTCATATTGCCCACACGTAAGTGAAATTCGAGTTCTCTCATCAGTAGTGAGACCCTATTGTTGGTGCCTCATTGTTGTCCTGTGTAAAGTACAGGCACTGGGAGACCAAGATGCAGGATGTTTTCAGTTACTACCAACACTGTTGCCAAGTGATGTCTCTTTACCTCCGAAGAGGGGACAGATGATGGCTGTATAAAGACCAGTGTGTGATTTTATGGATCTTGGTTACAGGCACACTCTTGGAGTTCATTTCTTATCTATCTTAGTGTAAACTGATTATCGAATCATCCATTTCAGAGTATTATTTGGTCTGGTTTTAGATAATAGGAATCTCTCTGGTCGTGTTTTGGATGACTTCATAGCTTCATGGGTCCACAGGGCCTGTTCTAAGAATCAGAAATGTTGCAATGGAACCTCACTGACATGTTAGCAAAATTGGACACTGTTAGATTCTCATGCCAGTTGTTTCACTCACTTTTCTTTGTTTTAACAAACCCCAGGAATAGGAGGTCTAACTAAAAAGAAATCTTTTGATATCTGTGTGGTAAACAGCATAGTATAGATGTCTTGCATCTATATTATGAATCCTGGGAAATACAAAACAATTTTTTTCATATGGCATCTTCCCATGAAGAGAGTAGGGCTTTTTTTCCTTCTTGCAAATACATAATTTATTTTAATAAAGTGATTTACAAAGTTTGAGGTGATATGTAGTTTTTGCTTATCAAAGATAATCCTTGGAGAAATGAGAAGCTTTCATCCAAGCAAGGACCAGAGAAAATTTTCCTTGTTATTTTCTGGTGATAATGTGGGCAAGGACACAGTTTCTAAATGGGAGATAGGAAGGTTGTCTTTCCACTCAGATGCTTTATGCTGCTTAGAGTTGGCCTTGACTTTGGTCAAAATTGTGTTCAGATTCCCTAGAAAAACATTCAGAAAAAATTTGCTTTGAATTTCTTTATGAAATTACATCTAGTATGTTTGTCGAAGTGCTCAGATAACCTCAGGAGACCTCGTATAAATAGACATAGAACAGATTAGAACACTTAGCTTTCCTCCATTTAGGGGGGGATCACCAAGGGGTGAGGGACAAGTGTCTACATATGGGATGTGACAGATCAGATTTACTTGCATTTTCTCACACCATCAAGGAGACTGAACATTCAGTACAGTTTGAGACAAACATGACTAGAGAAGGAACTCTCGGACTAGGCCTCATGGACTAACAAGTGGCCAAAGTATAGGTTTCAAGAGGTCACTGAAACCCCAGAAACTGTATGTGACAGTTCTCTTAGTTCTGAGTTGTCATCTATTAAGTTCTCCTGAAAGGATGTCATCTTAAAACCAGAGATGTAATTTCTAGTTTAATTAGATGGCCACTTTGTTTCTGTTTCTGCTACTGTAGTTTTCTGTTCTACAATGGGATCCTTAACCTTGGTTAATGGGTACTTAATCGGGAGTTCATGGGCCCTGAAATGGATGTATTTCCCTGACATTGTCTGCAACATTTTGTGTGATAATGAGTTTTCATGTGTGTGTGAAGAGAGGGTTCATACTTGCACTAAATTCTCAAATGCTCTGTGACTACCAAAGATTAACAAAGCAGCCACTGATTTAGAGACTAGTCAGTGTTCCTTCATGTGGGATGCATCTGCATGCCCCATTAGCCTTCCCAGCTCACATGGCCCCTATGTTCAGTTCCTTGTTACTTATGAAGCCCACAGACTAAGCTATTATCTGTATTTTTATGTGTAAATTTGATGTAGGATTGAGGGTCAACTCTTTAAACTACTGTTTGGATTTTCAAGCTGGAAATTATTGGATACATTTGTATCATTCCTTCCTGGATTATTTCTTTGCAGCAATTGCCTGAGCTCTGGTCTTTACTATGATCACTGGACACTTTAGACATGAAAAACTTCAGCATCATGTTCTTATTTTTACAACTATAGTCTATACTGAGCTAGAATTGATCCTAAAGAGGATTTTCTTCTCTCTTTTTTTTTTTTAAGCCTAGGAGAAATTGGGCAATTTAGCCAGGAATTCTTTGAGACATCCCAGGTACGATCTCCCCACATTTCTGGGAGCTTTTATCCCTTTATTCTTTCTTTTGTTGGTTGTTTTTAGTTGTTCCTCATTTTCCCTTCAGCAAGATTTACTCAAGTAGAGGAAGCATAGAGAGGAAGATTGCTGAGGGATTAGGTGAATGGGTACTTGCAGGATTCGTTGTCCCCACCAAATTATCTTTTATTTTATTTCAATTTTTTTTTCAGTCTTCAAATATTTTTTATTGGAAGGCCATGCATTGCCTTCATTTATCTTTTAAAAAAAACTATTAGGTATTTTTCTTTTAATTTCCCAATCACGGTGTGAATTCTTCTTTGCCAAATGGCTTTTGGGGCTTTGCCTGGACCCTGTGTGCCAGAGTCAGAGATTCATCTTGGCCAGACAAGTGGCTTTTGGGGCTTTGCCTGGACCCTGTGTGCCAGAGTCAGAGATTCATCTTGGCCAGACACTGCCACATATTGAAGAGGGAGCCATTTCCAGGAAAGCTCAGAGAGCTGTGGCTTCTAGAAATCTTTCCTTGATTTTATGAGCCAGGCCTCAACACTTTTGACCATCTGGAAAGTTTTGGACCTGAACGCCAATATCTGTCTCATACATCTTTTTCTTCTCATTTCATAGGCTTCTTTAAAGAAAATTCTTGTGCATTTGAGATAAATATTTATTGGTATTTTGTTGTATACATTTTGACCAAAACGTTTGCATGTCTGTGAGCTCTAAGAATGGTATGCCTGAGAGCTGCAAAGAAAATCATCAGAAAAAGAGTTGATGTCCCCTTTGCAGATATACACTGTTATTCTTTGTGCCATTATGGTGCTCAATAAACAGTTTTGGAATGAATAAATAAGGAAAGCTGTTACTGACACAGGCTATTAGTGAAAGGCAGTGTTGCTTTGCAATTTTCATGTATTCTTGGACCAAGTAAGGATTTCATCTCCTTTCTTCACCCTCTATAGTATGTGCTGTCTGTCGAGTGCATCTCTCTGTTCAGTTAATGCTGAAGTTTGAATCTTTGCCTCTGCTCTGTTTCTACAGCCTCTCATTTTCAGTGGCTGTCAATCTGTTTATTTCTAGACTCAAGCAGCATCTCCACAGTGTGCTGTGAGGTACAGTCTATATAACCAAAGACAGCATAATTTGCTGTAGCTGTGCTTGACATCACTGCTTATTTAGTACTTTGATTTAGCACTATGCTTACATCGAGTATAAAAATGATCCCAGCTATGTACAGAAACAGCTCATGACAGTTTGAGTATTGCTCATGTTTTTGTATTTTTCTTTGAATTAGCTAGCCAAATCCCTTTGAATGAACCTATTATCTTCAGTCTTTTTTACCTTTGGGTAATATATAAATTTATAAATTAGCTGTGATAAATCAACTAATGATTTTTATCTACAGTGTATGAAGAACAATATTAAATGTAAGACATATCTTTGCCTACAGTCTATTTTGGAAATTAAGACACGCATAGTCAATAGTTAATGAACAAGATGCTATTATATTGTAGTGCAAATTATTTGTAAAGTACTTTTGTGGCACTGAAAACTGAAGAATTGAAACATTCTATTGGCATTTACTGAATACCTGACACATGTTAAAGCTTGGGGTTTGAAAAATAAGTAAGGTTTAGTGCTTTATTGATCAGTGACAGAGTATACGGTAATAAGTGACATTGGTCATAGCAGTCCCTACAAAAGCAAGTGGGAGATACATTAAGATCAAAGTGGGCCAGCAGCCACTGAGAAGATGCAGACTAGTCCAGCTTTTACTGCTGTATCCTTGATGATTGTAGAGACTCAGATCGTAGATCTAGACCATTTAATCCTTATAGGATTATGGCAGTTGTACTGTTATTCCCAGTACATCACTCAGTCTGTATCTTATCAGCCTAAGTCCTTTTTTTGTCTTTTCCTCCCTTATTATTTTATGATCTTTGGTGAGTTCAATATGTATAAATATGGGATTCTTGGGTTTTGCCTCAACCTTCTGTTCGGAAAGCCAGCGTGAGACAGGCTTATCTGAAAGCATCTGGTCAGTATTTCTTCATACATCCTTTTGCTTTCCTGTCTTCATGATGACCGACCTTGGCACATGTGCTCCAAGAGGACATTGTTGAGTCCACATTTTCTGGCTCACTGGTGCTTTTTGATGATGCCAATGACAACAGTGGTAACCTACGATAGTCCTTGACCTGCTGTCAAAACTGGCCCCGTAGTTTTCTCTTGTTTTTAAAATTTTTTTATGGGGGCTATGTACAATCAGTTTTTATTCTGTGCTGTTCTGTGTGCTTCATTTCTTTGGAAAACCCCTTCAAGCAAATAGCTGGCATGACGAAAGCACTGGCAGCTCCCCTTGACAGCCCCTTTTACTTAGCTTTCGGCACTTTTCTTTGGCAGAATTCGCTTCACTTTGTGGGGGTTGGAGCTTACCTGGAAGAGAAGAAGGTCATTGCTTTGGAGACCCAGGGGGATGACCTGCCCCCAGGGGATTCTGCTCTCCAATTTTCAGCTTAGTCATTTCATTTGAACCATAAGGGAGTCCTGAGGGAAGGTAACTTTTATTCCACCTTTGCCAATTTTGAAAGAAAAATGTGTTCTGTTTATTTGTGTTCTATTACTCGGAGCTAGATCATGTTTGGGTTGAGATTCGTGTGGTTGAACCAGATGAAATAGGCATTTTGTAGTTAAAAACGATCAAATATTGGCAGTATCATTTAGTTCAATCTCATATATCTTATTCAGAGATCTGGACTAGCTTATAGCTCATTTCTCTTAAGGGTCAGTTGTGAAAAAGTATTCCATATGCTGCTCTGAGTGATTTTCATTTTTCTTGCTTCCCAGGTCACTCTGCACCTGAATCCCATATCCTCAGTCCACATTCACCACAAGCCTGTTGTGTTCCTACTCAACTCCCCGCAACCCCTGGTCTGGCATCTGAAGACAGAGAGACTTGCCACTGGGGTCTCCAGACTTTTCTTGGTGAGTATTTAAAACCCTCCCAAACTGATCCTTAGCACAAAGATATAATGACCTTAAAACTTTGCAAGGCTTTTTAAAAAAAGGCTTATTTTTATTAAATAATACCAGAGTTCAAAGAGTGTTAAATTTGGAGTATGTGCTTAGTGACATTTGGATGGAATAGATAGGCATTCACAGAAAGCAGACACCACCCACACGACTTCTCCCGTGGATGGAGAGTCAGCTTTAGTTTCTACATTACAGCGGGACCTACAGTTATTCTGTGTGGCCTGAGCTTTGGTTTCAGCTCGGAGACCCCCCTTGTGGCATCAGAAACTCTGTAAATATTGTAAATAACCACTGGGTGTGTGGTCTCTGACCACAAAATAAATATGCACAAACCCATTCTATTTGTATATAACATAGGCCTAATTTCTGATACGATGATCTGTTTGTTGAGAAAGTGACACAGGGAGTTCCAAAATGAAATCATTTGTATTTTATTAAAAAAAAAAAAAAATCTGGAACCCAGCTCTGTGGAAATATCCAAATATTACCTACTATTTGTAAATCATGTCCTTTTGAGTTTGCCAGAACATTCAAGTTTGCTAGTTGTGGAGAAATAGATGGGTTGTTTGGATGGAATTTTTGGGGTATGATATCATGTCTGATGATGAGCAACTCTGCAACTTGGTAGTGATAACTCACGTTGTCCATTGCAAGAGCTGTGTGCTAATGTCCTAACTGCAGAGACTTAGGTCCTACAGTATCCAAAACAAGTGGGGTCCTCAATTAAGAGTTTTTATCTTGCCTAATAAATGAACTTTGCCTAATAATGATTCTTAATGCAGATCTATAGTTTCTTGTCACCTATATCTGAAGAGTGCTTTTAAAACCTCATCGGTACCCATTGAGTAAGGAAAGAATCCATAGTCAATACAGTTAATAGGTAGATAAATAAATGAGTAAAAAGGGGAGATGGGGGGCCGGCCCGTGGCTCACTCGGGCGAGTGTGGTGCTGATAACACCAAGGCCACGGGTTCGGATCCCATATAGGGATGGCCGGTTAGCTCACTGGGTGAGCATGGTGCTGACAACACCAAGTCAAGGGTTAAGATCCCCTTACCGGTCATCTTTTTTTAAAAAAAAAAAAGGGGGGGGGGAGATGGGAAATCTCCTCTTTATAGTAGAATGCCAATTAATAAATATAGAAGGAATACTGGAGTTAGAAAATCGTCATTTTGCAGCCACCATAGTAAAAGTTGTTCAGACAAGAATCATCAACAGATACTAAATCTAACAGGTAGAGGGAGTTTGAGGAACAGTATATTTAAATAGTCTCAAAATATCTTTTCCACAAATTACTTATTAATTGTAAGAGAAAAAATAGTAACTTTATATAGTGGACATACCCAACAATATCTTAACCAAGTGATAAAAATTAACATCACCAATATGGGGCAGATGGACATTGTGTGCCTGCAGATGAGAAAGAACACAGCATCATCTATGTAGTATTCTAGGCAGAAATGCATACAACCCGAATCAAATCATGAGGAAACATTGGACAAAACCAGGTTGAATGACATTTTATAAAATAACTGGCCTGTACTCTTTAAAAATGTCAGTCATGGAAGCCAAAGAAAGGCTGGGGAGCCGTTCCAGATTAAAGGAGACTAAGAAGGCACACGTGATCCTGAACTGGATCCTATTGGGTAGGGGGTGAGGCAGGTGCTACAGAGAATGTTACAAGGACAGTGGACAAAATTAGAACTGAGCCTAAAGATTAAAGTATTGTATCAATGTTATATTTCTTGAATTTGATAATTGTACCGTTATATAAGAGAATATTTTTCTTCTTAAGAAACATTTTTAGTACATTTAAGTGTTAAGGGGTAAAGGGCCAAATAGTTTAGGAAAAAATATGATGTATTCATATAGAGAGAATAATAAAGCAAATGTGGAAATATGTTGAAAACTGGAGAACCTAGTTAAAGGGGGCACTAGAGTCCTTTGTACTATACTTGTAACTTTGCTCTAAATTTGAAATGATTTCAAAATAAAACATTTAAAAACTCAAAAGTTACATTTATAAGCTTGGAGTTACTAATAACTTAAATTATAGACTTTTCTGAGAATTGAAACTCATTACTTCCACATTAAAAGGCTAGAAATCAGTAATTATTTAGTTGTTATGACTACTACTAGCACATTTATTTAGCACTTTGTACATCCTAGGTATTGTAGTAAGTGCTCTAATGCTTTTTCTCATTTAATTCTCACAACAACCCCATGACGATGGTGTATTTACCCTCTCCTATAGATGAAGAACTGAGAGTGGTTAAATGGTTGCCCAGATCACATGGCTAATTACCAGCAGAGCTGAGACTCAAACCCACTTGGTCCTATTCGATAAGCTCGTATGCTAAACTGGCTCCATTTATAGTCATAATCATTGTCAGTCTTTTGTAATTAATGTTATTTGTGGTAGTAAGACTAGTGGCTATGATCATAAAGTCATATGTGTATTTGGCCTTTAAACTGGAGCTGCAGTGTCTAATACTGTAGTAACTAACTATGCATGGTTTATTAAAATTAAATTTTGGTTCCTTAGACACACTTACCCACATTTCAGGTGCTCAGTAGCTGCCTGAGGCTAGTGGCCACCATAATGGGCGGGTTATGGAGGGGTTATAAGCAAAGGCTTTGCTTCTCCTGGTTTGAATCCAAGCAGTGACCTTGGGCAAGATAATCTCTCTAAGCTTGATTTTTCTCAGTTGTAGTATGGGAACAATAATAGCCCCTATATCATAGAGTTGTTATCTTGATAAATGAGATTACATATAAAATGTTTAGTACAGTGCCTGGCACTGATAAGTTCATAGTCATTACCTGCCATTGCTACTGTTATTTATTATTAGCCATTGTAGAGAGCACTTGGGAAGGGTGTTGAATTTCCATTTGTAATTATAAAGTATCTAGCTTGGCTGGCCCCAGATTGAAGGAGTTCCTATTTCTCTGGGCTATTGGTTCAGATGAAAAGCGTGGGCCATATATATCATAGTTGTACTTAACACTTTCTGGTTTCCTTCTTTATTCTGCCACTCCATGGGCTTTAAGGGAAAGTATCTTATCCTTAGTTATTATTTATTTGCTTTAATTTTGTTTAAGATCTGTAAGAACTGCTTCTTGGCCATCAGTTTATGACACACTAACAATGAAAAAAGGAGACAGCTTTAGTAAACAATTTAACATTGCCCTTATTTGGGATTAATCCCATGTAAGGAGATTGCAGATCAAGTGATGGACCTAAATTTACCAACACAAGGGAGAAAGATTTAAATTCCAGGACACCTGAACTCTGCTTTGTTGTCGAGCAGATTTCCTTTAGGGAAAATGGTTTTCTCCCATCTGCACATTTCCCCATGGCCTGGAAGAGATGGTGGAACATCTGTTGTTCATTCAGGTTCTCAGATCAGGAGACAACGGTGATGCAAGTTCTCTCACCAGCTGGCCAGCTCTCCTAGGCAAGCTCCACCCTTCTTTGCTGTGGCCCGAAATGAGTTTCCATGTCTTCTCATCCACTTGACAAACTTTGCAGCACAGGGACCAGTGATGAATAGAAAACCAGTTGTGTGTTTCTCTTGTTGCATGGAAAACCACTAGTGTGTTCTGTTTATCCATTTATTGTAGTTAAGGGTTAAGTTTAGGGAGAAGATAACTAAATTATTTTATGTAAAGTGTTTCATCAAACACTCAAAAGGCCCATGGAATCTTTGGAAGCTGAGGCTTAGCCGTTTCCACCACTGTCTTCTCCAAGTTTACCCAAGAGAGCTTAGAGCAGCTGAGGGGAGAGGATGTGTCTCTCGAGTCTTAGCACAAGATGCACACGGCCTAACTTCCTCCCTGATACGCTGTGGGAGCGTCTGCATTACTATCCCAAAGCTGTCTTTACTTTCCAGGTAGAGTTACAATACTTTACCAGTTCTTTTGTTTTTGTCTCTCGAGTCTTAGCACAAGATGCACACGGCCTAACTTCCTCCCTGATACGCTGTGGGAGCATCTGCATTACTATCCCAAAGCTGTCTTTACTTTCCAGGTAGAGTTACAATACTTTACCAGTTCTTTTGTTTTTGTTTTTTTAAAGCAGGGTGGTAAGAAAAGTTCCAGTAATAGCATCAACTCATCTGTCAGGGTAACCTTTTAATTTAAATTGATATGTCTACATTGTTACAACTGCCCAGATTAAAAAAGAAAAACTTTCATAATTAGTTAGGAGGACCTTGTGTTACGCAGAACAACTCAGCCACCCGTGAAGGTGACTAAAAACATTGTATGTTAATACTGTCTAATAAAGGCATCTTTCTTTTTCAGTCAAATCATTCCAGCCCTTTTCACGATTCCACAGCCCAGGCAGAAGGGAGCGTGTCAGGCAGGGAGAAAGTGGGATTTAGTTTTCTCTGCAAATGCAGTTCCTTTATCCAGTTGTTCTGGTTACCTAGGAAATGGGAGTTGGATGAAGAGTGATTGTTTCAGGCTCAGTTTCAAGGAGGCGATCTTTGTGTGTGAGTCACACTCATGTGCCACAGGATGAAGTTGTGACAGCTTATAGTTTACCTTTTGCAGGGTGTATGGGTGGCCCAGAGAACATTGAGTAGGTTAAGGTTGTCCCTCGACATAATCAGAAATAAAAATAATCCTACCCTTCCATGTTGTGTCATGTTGAAACTATAAATAAAAATCTCTTTAAAAGAACATTTAAGACCATTATTTTTCTTTATGCAGTCATTTCCATTCTGAAGGAAAAGGGTAACTCAACTGGGCAATAGATATCTGAGCATTCAGCCTGAGTTTGCTAAAAAAAAAGATTGGGAAGGGAAAAAAAAGTATTTATTTGGCTGGCTGGTTAGCTCACTTGGGAGAGCACGGTGCTGGTAACACCAAAGTCAAGGGTTCGGATCCCCATTCCGGCCAGTGTCCCCAAACAAAACTGAACAAACAATCAAACAAAAAGATTGAGA